GAAGGAAATCAAAAGTTTAGGGACCAAAGTGTAAGCATCTAATAGTTGATTTGGACCACAAAATGATGATCGAAGATCATATAGGATCAACTGGATACAATTGGTTGTCAAATGAGTAAAATATAGTGGAAGTATTTTCACAAATCAATTTTCGGTTGAAGAAATTATGCTCCGGATTTTTAGCCTCAACTTGAATCCCATTTTTTGGATAGCAAACATTCAAATCGGAAATATTGTACATCTAGAAGAATTGTAGCTAGTTGAATTATATTTCCAAATCATTTTGAATCACCTCAATCAGACATAGAGAAAGTTATGGCCAAAATACTGAAAGATGCTCAAGGACAAACCGAATTGAACTTGCTTGCAGGGGACAATTTTCCCCGATAAATCAGTAGTTTTCTTTTGCGATTCAAACTCTTTTGAACTCAAATTGAATGCGATTTTGACCTATTTTCCGACTCTTACAAATAGAGAACGAGGGTTATTTATTGCAGAAAAAAAAACCCTCTCTTGCCTCTTCATTACAATAGTATAATCAAATTCATCAAAAACAAGTGGCAAATTACTATATTTTGAGAGAATATATTAAGCCCTAACAAGGAATTGAAGGTCAATTACATCAAAATTTTGAAGAATTTAACCTTGGACTTGAAAATCAACATCTTTTAAATTATTTCATGATACATGTGATATTTTTCTATTATTTTTCTTGTAATTTATATATTAATATGCCAGACTAGATCAATTTTTTGTATTAGATGAAGATGAACCATATTTATTATTTGTTTTAATTCAAGAATAGTAGTTTAGTTTAATTCTTGTGTTTCTTGATTAATTTTGTATACCCATTGCATTATTTAATTGATTGACTACCAATTGTTAATTATTTGCTTGTTGTAGTATTAGGGGATTCGCAATAAGTTTAGAACGTGATAAAATTTACATATGTGCAATAGATGTTAGAAATAACATTTATCACGTGTGTAATCATTTAGATAATATAAATTTTAATGTATTCTAATAATTTGTATTCAGGTTAGAAATAGATTTGGGTCATGGTTAAGATATATTTAATTAGTTTTGGAAAAGAAAATTAGCTTTATCGATTGTCAAGAACGCATGAACGGAATTAAATTACAAATCAAGAATTGAATTAAATAGCAATGGGCGAATTCGAAATCCAATATAATCATTTATAATTTGATTAAAAAAATTATTTTTTCTACATATTTTTAGATTAATTTAGAATAATCATAAAAATCAAATATGTTTGTTTACATAATTCGAATTCCTTACGAAACAAACAAACTTGAATTAAATTTATTCCTTGTGGGGACAATAACTCTTAACTCATTAATTTTATTACTTATCAAAGATCCCGTACGGTTGTGGGTTTCTTATGAACACTCATATAGATTCTCTTTTATTTTAAGTCGACAATTAAATGAAGAAATACTGGTTTGTTATAGTGTGTGTGTGCGTGTGTGCGTGTGTGTGTGTGTGTGTGTATATATATATATATATATATATATATCATTCCAACAAACCAATCAAGGAGTCTAATGAGTTTTAGAGAGCGAAGTATGATGAGTGGTGTGTTGTCGATGCGATCATCTGAAGTAGCATGTTGGTATTTGTTAGAGTATGACCCAAGTTCCTATTGGGATTAGGATTGGGTTGGTAAATTCATAAAAGGAACAAGAGTCTTCTTGGTTTGAAAATCCAGTTGAAAAATGGATCAATGTTCATTAATAATTGAAAATTTGACTGGTAAAAGGACTTTGGATAATTCAAGATTGGGTTTCGGAGTTTTGGTGAAGAAAAGGTCGTCGCAATTTCGCTAGCTTGGCACACGAGCATCAAAGGTGAAAAAAGACATGTAGGCTCTTCATAAACTCAATATAATAAGTAGATCATTGTTGTATACATTAGAAAATTGAGAGAATTGTTTAGATTTAGATTGAGAGTATCAAATCTTGTAAACACAATTTTTGTTTCTTGGTACAAGAAATCTCCCATTTTTCAACATAAATCTTGTGTTCTTATGTGATCAATTATTTTTTATATTGCCATTATTTTCACGTCTTCATTATTTGGCTTGGTTCTCAACAAATTGGAATCAGAGCCAAGATTTTTGGCGGTTTCTTGGGATGTCCAAATTGATTATTAAAGCGAGATTTGAATAAGGTCGATTGTTTCAGAGATGACAACTATGAAATTTGAGATTCTACTTTTAGATCGCAACAATAGATTTTCTTTGTGATACATCAAGATGTGAGCATTTCTTGCTCAATTAGACTTGGATGATGCTTGTTATTTCTATGCGAGTTTCCATCCTAGTATTGGGGCACAAAGACCAATGGGATGGTCAAAAGCATATGCCTCTTTCCACCTTCAAGCGTTTGGGACTTCGTGAAGCAATACCAGCAAATATTACTATCTAGTTGACAAACCAATCAATGAAAAAACCATAAGGGTGGTGGAAGATCTAGTGATGAGAGTGGGATATTGTTTTCCCAATGACTTTGTAGTTCTTCACATGCCCAAGGATTCAGAGACACCTAATATTTTGGGTCGACCCTTCTTAATGTCGAGAATTATTGACATGTCAATAAACCCTCTTATTGGTGTATCATAGGGTTTATTGACATTGTTGGTGCAGGATGAGAAAGAGTTATTTTGTGCTTCTAGAAATATTGAGACACAACTACATCTTTACTAGGTATGCTACAAAGTGAAGACCTTAAAGAAATTCAAGAAAAAGCTTTTTAAGAGGTTTTGGAAGTTATTCCAACTGTCAGTCCAAGTGAAAGATAAAAGACTTGTCAAGAGTGAGGAAATGAGAAACATGATCAAGGTGGATGTTAGAATTTGGGTGTAACTCGAATTTTTTTGCTAAAGATAATTTTGAATTCTAATTAAAGTGCACATTAAGAAGAATTCTATTTGGAATGATTTTGGAATCCTATTCGAAACATATTTGACAAATTCTAGTTGAAATTCTATTTGGGAGCTCTAATGAGAGTTGGAATTTGCGATGGACTTGAATAGATGAAGATAAGAAAACTTTTGGGCATTCTATTTCATCTACAACTCTATTTCTAAGGTTTGGATTATTCCCTATACATATTTAACTATTCTCTACAATTTAGTTGGATTGGTTTTACCCCATTATGGATTTTTAACCTCATTATTGGTTGGTTTAACATGTTGAAGGTTTGTTTATCCCCATTATATGTTACACAAATCATAAACACAAAATCTTTGTATTATTTCTCCATATTATAATAAAATATCCATTTTTTGCAATTTTGTTGGTTTGTTTTTATCCCCATTATAAGTTAGACAAATCTTCAGTGTTAGATTAATTTGGTATCATCTCCGTTTTTCACAACAGTGGTAATGGTTGATAAAGGTAAACAGGCAGTCGAAGCTAAAGCGATGTACATTCGAGAGGTAAAGATTGTTTTCATTAAAATAAAAAAGAAAAAGACAATGGAGCAAGTGGTAAAATGGATTTTTGAAGAGTGACACATTCGATGATCTTGAAATCTCCTTGAATTAAACTTGAGCAACCAAAGGCAAAAAAGTCAAGCTAAAGTGACTATAAAGGCTTGCTCGGTTGGTTTTTTTTTTTTCACCGATTTTAATCGATTTTGGGTGACACCGTTTAGGAGGGGTTTAAAAAATCGGTGCTTGCTAGTTTGTTTGGGCACAAATTTTGGATGGTTTAAAAACCACTCAAAATTGTAGTGTAATTTTGACTAATTCTCTCAACCCACCGAATTGGCGAATTTTGACCGTTTCTCATATTCTTTTCTAATTTTACCACTTATAAAATAATTATCTTCAACCAACATATTTTCTTCAATACTAACTTGTAAATAAAAATATATTAACTAAAAAATTATTTATAAGCAAAAAAATTATATTATAATTAAAAAATACTTA